GGGATCCATGTAGCCGGGTCGGGCACGGTCAGTGGCCAAGGCTGCTCCAAACGTGCTGCTCGTCCTCGCACGCCTGTTTCAGAGCTATTGCTTTTTCCTTGCAGTTTAGATGCCTAAAAGGAGGCGACTAGTGCAGTGCTGGGAGCGCCAGGGCCGGCCCTGCACCTGTGTCCCTGGCTGCAGCCGCCGCTGCCCCGTGCACATCCGCGGGCAGCAGCACCAAACCTGACAATAAGGCTTTAAAAACAGCATTTTTTTTCTTTTAAGTTTTTTTCCACACCCATGTGCACCCCGCGTGTTCACGCAAGGAGTGTTCCCAGAGGGAGCTGCTCCAAAGCGGCAGATTGATGCGAATAAAAGGGGCTGTGACAAGCGAGGACATCGGAGGATCCCCGAGGCACCCGGCTGTGGCGGCGGTACCTGGGGAAGCTCCCGGCGCCTCCGGCTCTTCCCCTTCCCGCGGATTCGCTGCGGAGCGGCCGCAGCCCCCCGGGCACAAACTTGCCCGTGCCAGCAAAGGCCTCCCCGGCGCTGTGGCTGGAGGGCAGTGGCTGTGGGGCAAGTGAAGCTCCAATTTGGTTCAAACCTGATGCATTTTGGCAGTACCGCAAGGAACGCACGAGCCCCGGGCATCTCCTGCCCGAGGCCAAGTCCTTTAGGCTACAGGAGCCGCCAGCGCTAAGTGCAAGATGACAGCGCCCACTGGGACTGCTCTAAATTTCTCTTTTTTTTCCCTTTTCTTTTCTCTCCTTCCTCCCGGTCTCGCTGGCAGTCACGGAGAAGGAGGTGCAGCAGTGGTGAGTGTGCGGCCGCGCTGGGGGGACGCAGGGCCCTGCTGTCCCCGCTGAACGGGGCGCCCTAGAAAAGCCACCGCTTGGCTTTCATGTCCCCATCCAACTAGTCAGAGCTTTCCTGCCCTCCCCGTAGCGAGTCAGAGCTGCAGCAGCCCGAGGAAGTTGTATCGGCGCCTGTATCCTCGCTGGGTGCCTGCGCGGTGGCCGGTGGCAGCGGGCGCGGTGCAGGGAGGTGGCGGGCGAGGGGACCCCGGCACCCATCTCCCCGCTCCCTGCCTGCCCCGCAGGTACAAGGGCTTCATCAAGGACTGCCCCAGCGGGCAGCTCGACGCCGCCGGCTTCCAGAAGATCTACAAGCAGTTCTTCCCCTTCGGCGACCCCACCAAATTCGCCACCTTCGTCTTCAACGTCTTCGACGAGAACAAGGTTTGCAGCTCGCGCGGGCGAGCGCCGGCTCTCGGGAGCGGGGAACTGCTCCGGCGGTCTCACCGCCGCCTTCGCTCCCCCAGGACGGCAGGATCGAGTTTTCCGAGTTCATCCAGGCGCTGTCGGTCACCTCCCGGGGGACGCTGGACGAGAAGCTGAGGTGTAAGTGCCGCGGCGGCGCGGGGCTGGAGCGCCGCGCGGGGTGACGCCGCGCGGTCCCACGCGCCTCCGCTTTGCTCTCGCTCCCAGGGGCCTTTAAGCTCTACGACTTGGACAACGACGGCTACACACAGA